AAAATATGAATTTAAATAAATCTGATACTTAATATTCAAAAAACTGTTCTTTATTAACTGCTGGATTAACAGTTATGCCTTAATTGTTACTGTAATAATAAATTTTTGATAATAAAACACGCAGATTTAGAACCAGTCAATGAAATGGCAGCCTCATGACTACATAAGAGGCTTAGCCAAAGAAATTGGCTTGGTACTTTTGCAAGGACTTCCTTATAACACAGTCCAAATTATAACATTTGTCTTGCAATGAGGACCACATTATAGTACAAGAACAATGGCAAAACACTGGCTAAAGTAAAGTTTTCTTATTGTTAACTAGAGAGTAAAGGTAATTTATTTCCATCTTTATTACCAAAATATTTGTATACTTTACAAATTCTGACAAACAACAAAATGTACTCTACAGGTCTCTAGATATATTTTTCACTGCTAAAATACAAATGTTTTGAAAATACTTAAACTTTAATTTTACTTTCTTTTACTGAAACCTGCTGGACAAAGGATTTGTCAAATGACTGAAAAGCACCTGTGAAAACAAGCAACCCAGCCTACAAAAGATCATAAAAATTAAGTTACTAATTACAATATTTAATACATCACCTGCTTAGCACAATTGGTATAAAATCAAAAGTTACTATAAAGTTTGTAATTTTCAATCAGGCAATCATAAAACCTTATTCTTAAGTTAATATTGATAGTACTCACCATCGTAATACCTTCATTAATTACAACATCCTTTATTTTATGTTTCTGGATAAACTGTGAATTCTGTCGTCCTGTCACAAATGTGGTGGTTAACTGCATTCCCAAAGAAGTAATAACCAAGAGTGATTCTGTGAAATAATATCTCAGTATTTAACAGATATTCATACCATATGAGCACTTCTTGCCTAAAATATTATTTCTTCTCACACAGAGAAACTGCCACAATCTCTGATAACATTAATTTGTCCAAGAACAAATGATAAAGGTTTATAGCTCAATATCTCACACAAAAAATGTTTATACATCAAGTGCCATATGAATAAAAGATTTGCTGCTACTTTGTTTCTTACATTTTTTCTGAACAAAATTATTTGTATGAACATCACTTTTTTTCTTTCAAAATCTTTGTATTAGATTAGGCCAAAAACATTTTGATCAACTTAAAAGTGGTAAATTTCATGAATATGATAATCAGTAAAAAAATATTTGTTCATAACACATTATCATCTTACTCTTATGTCCATAATACAATACTGTAATATGGGTCTAAAATTCTAGTACTTGTTAGAAAATCACATTTAATTTTTATGGAATGATTGTGATATCAAACAAACTTAGATTTCTGGAAATGAAAAAAATATACTTAGTATAATACCTACAAATTTATAATTCTACTTTCTTTACTAAATTCATGTGCTACAATCACAAGTGATTTAAAAATTAAGAAAGTAACCATAAAATATAAAATCTCACCTTTTTTTACTTGTAGATGAACTTTGGTTGCCAGAATTATGCTTAGAATAAGTAATAAAACTACCAAGGAGCTGGTGTGCTATATTAGAAATTGAGAGTAAAGGTAATTTACTGTCAGTTCACTATAATAACAACTACCAGATGTACAATAAAGCACAAATTAAACATTCAACCAGTTTTTTAAAATCATATACACAGACAAAATATTAAAACTATATGCAGAATAATATAAACTTATTCCTAAATAAATAACTCATCCTAAACAATACAAAAGACACGGATTCATGTCATAAATATAAAAAAATTTTGACATTAATATATCAAGTTAACAGTAATTCAAAAACCTTTGTCAAAGAAGCATCTATGTATGGGAAAACTTTCCGGTTAAGATAAAGTTGATTAAAATGCATTTGTGTTCCAAGTACTCACCCAATAATGGAGCTGACAGCAAAATGCAGTTGGCGTCAGTGAAACAAAAAACTTTCTCCATTTTGAGAAACTAAATCCTTCCTGTTCTATTTCAAACTCTTTAGCCCAACCAGACATGAAATCGTTTATGCATAGCTTTATCTTTTTTCCAGTTGTACTCAAGTGCCTGTTTGTAGCAGATGATTTCTTTGGTTTCAAAGTGTGAATTTTCATTGTTCACTTCATGTTTTCACTTATAAGACCTATAGAAGATAAAAGGTTAAATTTTATATACTAACAATTATTCACAGACCCAGCCACTATGAAACTTTCTCAACTAAACTCATATAAATAATCATTTGGAGATAACCCTAAAGGATACAACATTTTGAAGAAGGGGGTCTTAATGTTATCCATGAAAGAAGAAATATTTGTACAGTAAAATATTTAGGATATTATCAGGCTATAAAACATCCCAAGCCAACCCATTTCTTTCTGATGCTGTACACGTTATGAAAGAGAATCACTTTCTATATATCAATTTTATATAAGAAAAACAAAAATCATCATCCTTTTGAAGGTATGCATGTCACAGTATAGAAAGGTCATTTTTAACAGTTTAAACACACTAAAATATTAAGTTAATATTTGTGACCCATGATTGCTTTGAATGGTATAGGTTTTCTAAATTCACTAGTGAAATTTTACTACCTGTTTCAAATGTAAATTTTGCCAGAATTTTGGCTTATTACTCATAAATTAAAAAAAAAAATTTGTATAAGAGATTTGACAGTAACAAAATCAGTATTAAAATATTTGAAAATTATGATTTCTTATGTGAAGAAATGGTGTTTACTTAAATGGCTAAAAAAAATAACAACTGTTTAGATAAGATATAAAAAAAAGAAGAGTAACAAATATTACTAAGTCAAAACTTATACAAAACATTTCAAAATTTAATATGTCTAAATGAGAAAGTATTATTAAGACTTCAAAATTAATCAATTGTGCACAAGTCCCATCCATTGGACCAACCCCATAATGGAGAAGAAATGTTGACTATGATTCCAAAGTTACTATGTTATCTTCATAAAAGGTGGCCAGCATTTAGCAAAATGTACAAATCTGTTGTACACAAAAAACAAATGTACATGCATTCAAAATCTGTCTGTGAATTGATGATGTCAGTCTGACTCAGACTCCGACAAGTTGGAATGCAAAGTGATGTTTATGTGAATAATAAAAATACTTTTGTCTATTTTTACAGTTTGCACACTGCATTTGCATCACCTCTGGAACCTCAGAAATGCATGTTTAGTTTTTTCAGTATCCCTGTATATTATATCTGTTATTTACTATCATCTACCTCAAACTGTCACTAAAACAATAATGTAGGGTAAAATTCATAGTTGGTAACTCTGATATCAAATACATAATATCATGTTCAATGGCACTCTTTAAAAGGTCATGACATGTGCACTTTGGTCCCCACCCACGCACATCCTTCAATGTCCAAAATAGCTCCAATCCAAACTAAATGAAGTTTTCCACCTGTATATCTACCTATTCAACAAATATTAAAATTAAACCATTTATGCCTGGTGATACATATGAAGGATATTAGGAAAGGTAAACATCTTTGCTGAAAGCAAGATTTTGAACACCTAGTATCCTATAGACTAGCTCTTCTAGTTGGGCTGATAAGGTAACAGCATATAGTCATCATCAGGCAAACAGTACAGTCTAATGCTAAAAACAGAGTATTACTTTTGCCTAATTACAAGTCTTGTAATTAATTGCTTATAATATTTACTTAAAGCCCATTTTCAACCTAAGCATCATCAATCTTCCTTTTAATCATGGGTAATCTATCTCGGCCATTTCCTGTTTTAGTTATGTTTAAAGGGTAAAAACAGTAACCACCGTTTCACAGCTTCTGCCTTAAAGTCAACATAAATTTTACGATAAAGTTTATCTGTACAACAACTGTTGAGGTGTGAATGCCATTTCTAAGATTGCAAAGCATGATTAGAAACAATTATAAAATAATAGTATCAGGCTTATTAATATTTTTTAACACTACATTCTTAGTTAATTCTGTTAATGTTAGGATTTTTCGAGAAGAAAAATGCATAACAGTATTTGAAACACACTGTCTTCCACATCCAATCTATTGTTGGCAATGCATTTCTTTCATCAGGCCAGATAGAAAACAACACACAGTAATGATCTGAACAAGATCATTTAACATTACATTCTTTATTTGGTCCCTTGGATGTTGTAATAAAACGGCTTACGTAAGTAGTGTTCTGACAACTACCGTGTTGTTGTATCCATTGCCAGCCTCAAAAATAAAACAATAACATATATTAAATGTTTATAACATATTTAAAATTAGATATTTTGTTTAAATTAACCTATTTGCACTGATACTTTAGTAATAAAAGTAAAACATGAGAAGAGGAATTAAAGTTTGGTACCGAATATATAAAGCTTACAAATTAAAATGCCATGATGTAGGCCTACGAGTACTAAAACACTATTATTAATATTATTACTACTAGTACTACAACAGTACAAGTACAACTTACAAGTAATATAAATTATAACAGCTAGCGGAAATTGGAGTTGGACTGATGACTGACACTTATCTAACAATTTTTCTTCTTCTTGGAGAGACGTTGGGTGTATTTTTTGTCCAATATTCTAATTCCTTAATAATTAGATTATGAAGAAAGTTGAAACTGATGTCCAAACTTTTAAAATATGACCAGGCACCTACTTAACACTTCAACACGCTTTACTGATTCTTTATGAGAATGTATTGCAATCCCTCTCACGATGACTGCAAATTATTTGTTCTATAGACTATCGTATAAATATGTGTAAAATGGACACAAAACCCCATAAATATTTGTACAATAGTATTTTAATATTTACTAAATGTGAGATATTTAAATGAATAAATGAAACCCATTAAAGAACTTAACATACTTGTAACGAAGAAATTAATTAATTTCAAAGACGACGTGTTATAATAGAACAATAAGAAACTGTAAAATTGAAATTCTGTAAATTGTAATTTTTTGTTTGTTTGTTATAGATTTCTCGCAAAGCTACACGAGCGTTATCTGCGCTAGCCATCCCTAATTTAGCAGTGTAAAACTAGAGAGAAGGCGGATAGTCATCACCACCACACCGCCAACTCTTGGGCTATTCTTTTATCAACGAATAGTGGTGTTACGACAGCGGAAGTCACGCGACCCTGGAAGCATGCGCGCTGGAGTTTCTAGAAGGATCATGACTGTTTCTGGCA